CATGCATGACCATATAAAATCTAATCTTAATAAACATGATGTTCTCGGCCAAATGATGACGGGACTTACCTCTTGTTAAGCCTTCGGACTAAACTCTTCGAACACCCGAGCTCTCGGCCGTGACTCTCCGCGTGTGCGCGCGTTGCCTCGGACTACCGTGCGGTAGCTTGTGGCTTGCGGTACGCGCGACGGCTCTCGGAATACTCTCGGCCAAGGCTCGCGATAAACGCTCCAACTTCACACAATACTCTCTAACTCTCGATAAAAAGAGAAGGAAAAATGGAACACATCTCCCAAACCCCTCCTTATAATTTAAGGCCGAATGCATGGGGAGACATAAGGTCAAAGTCTAAACAAGTGGCCACCATGCACTCTTCTCCCTCAAACTCACGTGAATGTCCAACAAAAGACAAGGAAGGCTCGGTCAAAAGCTCCTCACATGCACGGCCAAAGGGACAAAAATGCACCAAGAACAATGCTACACAAATTCCCACGGCATAAAGGAAAAGGACAAGGTGGATGGAAAACACTAACATGCACACACACGGCATTTAGCATGACTTTGGACAAACTCCCACCATTGCACGGCTATTAGCTAAGTTGGATTAATTATTACTAATCTTGTGATTAATATAATTTAATCACTTAACTATGTTTAATTATCCAATTAAACATAATGCTTAATTACTAAAATTATTTCGAACGTAAACGGTACGTCGAAAATATTCTCCGGTAATATCGACTGAAATAACTGAAAATAATTAATTCCGAAAAATAATATCGGAACTAAAATATTATTATACTGATAAATAGTCGGGATATTACATATCCGACCCCTCCGAATAACTCTTTGTTGTTGTAGCAAGGTAAAATTGTTGAGCCTGCCCCAGGTCTTGCTCGACCCGCATAGCCGATACCCGCATGGCTCCTTTCTTTTTCGGCACCGCCCACTGAATTTCATGGAATACTTCTTTTCCATCCAACACAAAGACCATCTTACTCAAGTAGGGCTTCACAAATGCCTTTGCCTCTTTGAGATAATCCATACCCAAAATTAACTCAAAATCATCAAGAGGCAACACATACAACTTGCACATACCTTTCCACGGCCCAATAACCATGTCCACTTTGGCCACCCCCTTGATTGGTACTGTTTGCGTGACAGTTTTTGTAATATCCCGATATTTTATCGGTATAAATTATGTTCTAGTTCCGAGATAATAACGTTATCATTTATTATTTTCGGAGTTAATTAAATTCAGTCGAGATTACCGAAATTTATTTTCGACGTACCGGTTACGTTCGGAATAATTTTGGTAATTAAGCATTATGTTTAATTAAATAATTAAACATAAGAAAAGGGATTAATTAGCATTTATCCTTCAATTAAGGCATCAAGGCCGTCCCAATTAAGACCAAAGCTTAAGCCGTACGGGAATTGCATTTTTCCAAAATTTTGGCTAAGTAATTTCCTATGTCTTAAAGAATTAATCTCCTCCCACACATTATCAAGCATACGTGGCTTTATGGCAAAGGGGATTAGTCATCAACAAGTTATTCCAATTAAGAGCAAATGTAAGCTTATGAGAAGGCCACGCATGCTTCACGTCATCACCATCCTTACGACACTTAGTATATAAGCATGAGTTTGATAAAATTTTTCCCCCACTTTCCACACAAGTTAGATTCAGCATATTTTCTCCCAAGTAGTGCGTACGTTCAGCAAGCTTAAGAAGATCACAATCATTCCTCAAGTTTAGTTCTTGCACGGCAAGTTAGTGTACCGCACGACAAGGCACGCACCACACCGAACACGCACATACGCAAGGATTGGGGGGGATTTCGAGCACGTCTTGTGAGTTCAATCGAGATTTTGTGAAGGTAATTCAAGGTTACCTCTGAATTGATCATGCTAATAATGAGTTAGTTCCGTTTTTTTGAAGTCTCGGGCCAATTGGCCGTGTATGTCCGGGAGTGTCCGTGTGTGTGTGTTTGTATGTAGAATTAAATCAAGTCATCATGTTGTTTCAGAATTCCTCAGCAATCAGACCCTATTTGACTTAATTAGGTGATATAGTGTTCAATCATGTTGGGTTATTTGATAATTGTTTGTGTCTTGTGGTTGGGGAGCTCGGCCGAGAGGGTGGCCGCGCATATCGCGCGTGACCACGGGCCGCATTAGCTTAAGGTATGGTTTCAAGTTATAGTCAGGGTTAGTGTATGATGTATGATATTACAGCCTTTAAATGATGATTCATGTCTAGGTATCCTTGAGTTGCTGTAGAAAAGTTGGAAGTGGTCGAGTGACGGCCTATCGCCGTCGGCGGCGCACGGTGCTGATGACGGATCGATCTTCTGTCTATTCGGTTGGTTGCGAATAAACGGCGGACTGCGACCTTCGTTTATCCCCGATAGGTGTATCTAACAGACGCACTACGGCCTTCTCCTAGATACCGTGACTTCAAGACGCACTAATGGCCTTCTTTCTGACACTGTATGTAAACACGCACTAATGGCCTTGTTTATCACACGTTAAGAACATCAGTTCCCCCTCAAGATTGGCTCACCAATTCAATACTTCATTCAACATGTCTGAAATATGATGAGGTACATGGGGTATTTATAGTTGCAAAATAAATCTAAGCCTAAATCTACTAGATCTCCTAAATCTTGCAATAATAGAAATCCTATCTCTAGAAAGCCATAAAATCCTAAAGCTACCAAATAATTATTGCTTGGCTTGCACACCAAGCAAATCTAGAAGCTCCCTAAAACCTACAGCTGCCTCTCGCGTGTGTCCCTTGCGGGCGCGCTATCGCGCGCCGCCTTCGTCATTCCTATGCCCATGCGGAGTGGGTCGCCCGTCTCACACGCGCACGCCATTGTGCGCGCCCAGTCCGCGCCGACTCTACCTTGCGCGTGCGTGCCCAGTGCCCTTGCGTCGCCTAATCCTTCCATGTCTAGGACACCATCCGCGTCGTCCCACTCGCGTGATGCCGCGCACGCCCTGCCCTTGCCGATCTTCTTGCGCGCGTTTTGTCGCACGCCCGCGTGCTCACATGCGCGCCCTTGGCGCCCGATCCCTTCTCCGCCTGACCCCCGCACGTCCCAGCTACCGCCCGAGCCCAGATTGCCTACGGCGTTCCCGCGTACACCCGCGCACCCGTCCATCTTGCGCCCGCGTACTCCCCGCCAAACCCGCGTGCATGGTTTGTCCGCCCACTCGTGCGCATCAAGTGCCGATGCGCACCTCTTGCCATTTCGCTCCTCACTAGACTCGCCGGACTCCAATGCCACTTTCGTATCATTCCCCTCCTCTTCAAGACCTTCCTTGTCCCCAAGGATTAGGAAATTCAGCTTCCCACCTCGACCATCCCCGTTATCTTCATCAAGTGACCCGCCTGGATCCTCAGTCCTCAACTTGACCCTCTTGCTTGACCCCCCGAACTCCATAGTTCCTTTCCAATAATCGGTTGTGATTGGACCAAGAGTCTCCAACCACTGGCATCCAAGCACTATATCAGTTGCCTTCAATGGCAATGCATAGAGGTCCACTCTCATTCTTTGACCTTGAGCTTTCAACTTTACATCCTTGAATAGAATATCTCCTCATAGTGTTTCCCCGTTTGCAACCTTGACTCCAAAAGGTTTTACCTTGGTGAAAGGAATCTCGATTTCTTTAGACAATTCTTCATCAATGAAGTTTAGCGTAGATCCGCTATCAACTAATACTTCCACCAGTTTTTCTCCCACTTCAGCCGTGAATGTGATCATCTTCGGACCACGCTTCTTGCTTTTAACCATTTGTAACAAGGACTCTTCCCGTGGTTCTTCTTCTTCGAATTCCAACAAAAAGACCTCCTTACCTTTGCACCTGTGGCCTGGCGTGAACTTTTCGTTGCACGAATAGCAAAGGCCTTTTTCTCGCCGTCGTTGCATCTCTTCGTCGGTA